ATGACTATCAGCTGGTACGATCGTTCAGCTGTAGCATCCTGTCGGTGCCCAGCTGCCATGCCACCCAGAGGAAGCATGAGGGCTGAGATACTGCCAGGTTGCCCAAGCCCGGATAAGGGAAGCCGAGTGGCAGAGGTCGGGTCCGAACCACGGATCTTCCGGTCAGTAAACTCGCGCTCTAACCTTTTGGGCCATCTCGCCCCAGCTGGTACGATACTTAACTTATGATATTCCAGATAAAGAACAAGATAGCTAGTTCAAGACGGAAGACGTCACGTGCTGCCTGACAGCTGGTTACACATTAGCTTTGTTCAAATCCTGTCTAGGCTTGAACAACCCGACAGTCTCCCAGCCCACGGGCTTGCTTCGGGCAACATGACAGCTAGACACCGAAAGGGCGTAGCAACTGAACGATCATCATCATTATTATTTTGTCTATTCAGATAATGCGAGCAGCACTAGTTCAAAGGTTACAAGTGGGTCAGCTAGATCAGAATGTGAAGTACAACACACTTTTATTCAAAACGCAGAACACTGTCCAACGTCCAGTGAGAGGATCGAACGAAGAACTGACTGATACGTGCTTGCGATGTGACCATTAGAGTAAGAGGTCCTCTTCAAGTCGGGAACTCACTCGNGTCCTTGAAGAGCGTCAAGTAGGGCGAAACAGGTAGTGTGCTGTCAAAAAGTTTCCACCAAAGTTATAAGTAGTGTGTTCCGTCAAGAAAAATGAACCTATTACCATTTTGGGCCAGGATACAGTCCCCAGAAGCGCCAGTAAATATCAATTCATTCGAAAACGTCGACAGACACGTAGAGTTTAGCGTACGCAACCACGCGTTCGACAATACCAGTAACCAAACAAGAAAACCGCCACAAAACCATGAGCCACGAAGCAGCAAACGAACGAACGACCGCCGACGATTTATCGGGACCAGATGAAAAAGTATACAAAGCCACTGAGAAGGAAAGGAGACAAGAAGAGATCGGATAGATGGGAGATGCAGAAAAGCGACATCATAAGGACCGGGGATGAGAAGCCACTTTATGGGGGATACATGTTAGCAAAGTCCAAATGACACGTCGCGTTGTCGAACCTCATGAGAAAAAGACAAACTCACCCCGTTTCCTCCACACAGTGAAGCGATTAACGCTTCCAATCTAGAGCGTGATTCAGCTGTTTCTAGCAATTGACCAATCAACCTACGGGCTTCCGTTTCTTGTCCCGCATGTAGCAGACACGACAGATGATTGGTCAGACCATTGATAGTCTGATCCCACTCTGCTTTAGTTGAATGCTCGCCAGAAAACCCTGAACTTGAAGAACTCGAACTGGGAGCGATGGCAACCGGTCGGTGACGGGAACGGTGAGTTGCACTTGTGAGTGATGGAACACTTTGAATCGAATCCAGCTCCGGAGCGGGTGAGGGCGCCAGCTGGTGTCGTTTGTTTCTGACTGGGGGCGAAACACGAAGTTCAGGTGAAGACAAATGAAGCTTCCTTCGAGTGGGGCTTTCTGAAGGGCGCTCGGTTGTGCGGTACGAAGTTGCTTTGGAGCCCTGACCGGAAATTCGATTTACCCGAATGGTTGACGAGACCTAATTGTGAAAGGCATTCAGACGAGAGATGGCGCATTGGTTAGATGGAGGAAGCCTTCTACAGAGTGGAAAATTCCCCATGAAACGTTCACGTGATATACGTGTAAAAGCAGCTAACCAACCACGCAAAAGCCATGCGGTCTTCAACCTTGAGACGTCTACACACACACACATACACACAACGACTCAGTGCACAGAAGCCATCAGGCTCGAAGGAGACACGGGAATAAACGTATTGTAAGATTGCTACGGCCTAGCTAGATGGATCAATCAATCCGGATGACAGTCCCTAACTCGCAAGCCATTTGGAACCCGAAAAAAGAGCGATCCAGGTTATTTCACAAGTTTGTTCGAGGTCTGGAACTAAGTGAAATGGCTGACTAATAAATTATTAATGACAAAAGGTACAACGTTCAGAATATGCGAACGGATGCTCCGGGGCTAGCACTCCAATGTTAAAACGATATACAGAGAAATGTGCACACAGCTTGGGGAGATTTATCTATGGCCTTGTGAATGAATCCTGTGCTTGCGGTGAGAAGCAACTTGATTGAAGTAGCTAAGACATAATCAGATGGCTCATTGGTTAGATTGCGAATTCACCGACCGGAAGGTCCATGGTTCGAATTCAACTTCTGCATCTCGACTTACCTGTCTAGGCTTGGGAAACATGGCGGTATCTCAGCCCTCATGATTTTCTCGGGTGGCATGAAAGCTAGGAACCGAAGGAGTGCGACAGCGTCAAAAGTCCGTTCAAGTCATCCGACACCAGAAGAGATTCTGAAACATCAGTGATCGAAAAGCCGAAGAGGCCCCGGACCACCCGTCTTCTAAGGCCGTGTCTCGCTACCACACAAAAAATTCTTAAATAAAGCCTGGCACATCCAGTCCAGGACATCCAATGATGGATGCCACAAGTGAAGCAAGGTTTCAAACGTGGTTGGCGCCTTCCAGATTCGTACAGACTTCATTAGGCACACTTCCGTCAGAGCTAACAAAACTACCAACCTCTAGCGATTCTCCACGGTTTACGAGAGAAATGTTTACAAACTGTACGTTCTGAAGCATGACTTTGAACTTCAAAGGTGAGAGGCGCAGGCCGAGCGTTGATACGACGGTAGTCAGACTATTCAACTGAGTTTGTGTTTCACCTTCGTCTTCAGAGATGAAGATGTCCTCTGGGCACTCTAGACCGACAAAGTTCTCCCCAGAACACCGAGGGTTTAGAGCCCTTCCAGTGTTCGCATCAGTATGACATTGAAGACCAAGCTGAAGAAAAATGGAGAGAGCGGGTATGCTTCCCGGACACCACTTCTTGTACAGAAGCTTTTACAAAGATCAAGCAGGTGTGAATACAAGGACCAGATTATGCTTCTAGATTCCGGGGCATCCCGTGGTGAGGAAGCGTAGTTAGATGCACTGAGTGAATGACAAAATCGAACGCAGCCTTGAATTCAAGAAACAGCTAGATTTAATGTGCTACTCGTAAGGTGGCTGAAAATCCGTCGACAGTCCACGACCGGTTTCGCCCGTTTTGGGGCTCATCAGGTAGGCGCAGTCCCCGGGTTTCCGTCAACCTTACGTTCTAGATTGTGTTTGGTCCGTACAAATAGCACTGGAAAAATATGTTCCATATAATACCCGGTTGAAATCCCACTTACTACCCGTGAGTCAAGGTTCAGAGGCACGATGTAAGAAACCGTGTTAGAACTGGAGGTCAAACTGACGTCCATGTGGTTGCTGGATTCACTGCGAGTACCTGATTGCAGACAGGCAGTACTGTCGACTCACCCCAATTGTTCGGGACGGTCTCTTTATTCCAAACAGACGTAACTAGGCTAGACACACACTAGATGAGAAATCCACCGCTGCTCCTGAACAAGGTCGTCAGGACCAGAAGGGCGATGACCCTTGAGCGGGGGGCTACGCTCAGACACTGATCACCGCTCCAAAAGTGGGAGATCCAATAAACTACTATAGGAAATCAGTCATTGAAAGTAAACTCACTTGAGCAGTGGATTTCAGTGCACCACTTGAATGTGACTGTGAGGAGTACGTATCTGAGTCAGCTTCTGTTTCACCAGAACTTGACTCACTGCGGACGACAGGAATTTTGAAATTCCTTGTTTCTGTGGCAGAACTGTGTCCTTCGGGAAGCAGTAGTCGGCCACGACCCTGATCCCGCAGTCTGGAAGTTAACGGAAGTTCACGACCTCCGGTCCGCGGTCGAGAATCTACCAGGGGACGTGTAGAAACTCCTTGTACCGCACGATTAGGTGGTGAGTGTTCACAATGGTTGTCTCCGCCGACGGTCGAAGACGTCAATGAAGAGGCGTAATTTGCCGGACCACATGGGCTTAACGATGACCAGACGGAGGAAGACAGTGTGGTCAAACTGGCCCCGAGAGTGGATGATGAGTTGATCGCGCCTGACTCCGGTGGCGGGTAACAAGCAAACGACCTCGCCACGTCTTCACTGGAACTGGCTGAATCCGAACTAGGACTTGGTTTTTCAGCTGGAATGGTACGGCTTAGTTCGGGGGTCTTCGAAGTACAAAGTTCATCCAAATATTTACTGAGACTTCCAAAGCCCTTCAGTCGACCGAGAGTGGAGTCAATCTGTGAAAGGTGGGAGTTGAAGTCGCGCAGTGTTTGGTCCATCTTTGACAGATTCACACCCATACCCCGCTGCGGGGATCCCGTTTGCTCAGTGCGACTGCCCATATTTCGTTCAGGTGGAATCGTATGCTTAATGTTGCGGTATACTTGAGAATGTCCATTAGATATCTGTTCAGCAGATGGTCTACGGGAACTTCGAGTGAATTCCGACACCGCAGGAATCCCACATTCAGCCGAGTTAACCCAGTGTCGTGAAATTCCCGCAGATGTTCGTGGGGAGTTGGTCGTGCGTACAAACTGTTCTTGCTCGTGCATTTGCAAATCGCGAGCAGAAGTAACAAAACGAACGTCCTGCTCGTGGCTCACAACTGCAGATTGTGCGTCACGTAGCAGGCTGGAATTTGACACCACTGTCGAAGAGGATCGATTCTCGTCAACTGAGGTGGTGGTCACAGGACTACGTTGATTGGACCAATTAGCTGCAGATACGATATGTGCGTTGTTCGCTTGCATTTGATTGGTCTGAGAATTGGCTAGTTGAGATGGCATGGTGGGTGGTGGGTCTGTAACCAACGTGTCCTGCACACACAACTCGACGCAACGCGGCCAGTTGCCATTATTTGCATACTCAACAAGTTCGTCCGTGGATAGGAGGTGATTGTCCGGTAAAATCGAGGCAGCGTAGGTCACATGAGGTCCACTGGAGATATGCGTGCAAGGATAGGCGAATTCGTCAGGAACAGCAAACACCGAAGACCCTTCACACGGAGAGAACGACGTACGTCGTTGATAAACCGGTGACAAAGCTTCATCCACCCCGTCCACATGTCCTACAGAATTCGGGCGAAGCGCAAACACACGTGGACTTCCAGATTCGTCGCTTGGCGATGACTGATCGATGGTAAGTGGTTCGGAAACAGATCTTGAAGTGTGGTATTGTGGTTCATCACTCAGCAGGATATCATTCAAATTGGGATACGGATATGGTTCAGAAACAGCGTCTGGTGTAGATTGCAACGAATGACTTGGGAATGATGTTGGTGAACCTTCTCTCAATTCCAAATTAGACGGGTGAACCAACTGTGACTGGTGGAAAGGAAATAACACGGAGGTTGGCGCTTCTTCCTTGTTTTCAGCAACCCTGGGATTCAAAAATGCACGACGCAATCGTTCGAGCTTTTGACGATGCGAGGCAGCCTCAGAGGCCACTGAACCCAAATCTGGAGACCAATCTGAACAGACAGGCGACAGGTTGGTGTTGAACCACTGGAAGTTGGAGAAGGCGCCATCAGTGACCATCAGGGTGCACCCTCAGATGAAAGGACAAGAGGAACGAGCACAGACGCGACGGTTATGGTGGTAATAAAATTAAGTTGATCCCGTGTGAATAGGGCTAAAACGGGAAACAAACGAATGGCAAATGTGCGGTAGCGTAAAAAATATCGATTTAAAAGGATGCAAACAGAGGAGCAGTTTGATAAAGATAGTTGCTGAAAATCGTTCAGCTGTAGCACCCTTCCGGTGCCTAACTGCCGTGCCACACGAAAGTTGCACGAGGGCTGGGATACTGCCAGGATGCCCAAGACAGCAGAAGTCGAGAGGCAGAGATCGGGTTCGAACCACGGACATTCCGGTCAGTAAATTTGCGCTCTAACCACTTGTTACAAATGGCGAATAAAGGAAAAATGCAGTGATTGTATAACTCATTTTGGACTACTGACGACAGGACGGAGCAATATCAAGCACAATAGATTTTCCAGTATTCAGATATCCCGTTCCCAGGACAGCTATACCCCCTCGGATGCAACTGCGAACTATCGACCATTCGTGAGGGTGACATTCAAGCCGATTTCCTCTTCAAATACAAATCAATCAACCTTATACATGCAGTGTATTGAACAAGCTCAAATCATCCAAGTGCAATAATCCAACTCGTGCATTTATAAAAGCTCCATCGTTGGGGCACCAACTTAGTGACCGAAAGGTTCGTGGTCCGAACCCAACTCCGGAATCTCGATTGCTCCTGTCTAGGCTTGAGCAACCTGGCACTATCTCAGTCCTCGTGCTTTGTTCACGTGACATGGCAGCTGCACACAGAAAGGGTGTTAGAGCTGCAAGGCGATTATTCTTATTCACGGTAGTGTGTCTGAGGGAGTTGATGAGAGGTGGTAAAGAGATGACAGAGTGAGGACTGATAAAGATGCATCTATTTTCGTATTCATAATCGATTTGTGTGCTTGTGTCGTTAGCTAACATTCTCATTGAAGGCATCTACAACGTGACCCAAGCGGGGATTACGTGTGGCCATATGAGTGCGGTATGATGAAGTTGGTCAAAAGGCAGCGATTGGCGAACAGTAACCTTCAAAACATACTACAACGGGTGAGTAGTAGTGATGGGCATCTACCGTAGTGCCCATAGAGAAAGCATGCCGTTCTTGGAGGGGTGGTGCTCCTTTGGACAGAATTTACCTGCTAATGTAATACGCATAAGATGAGGGAGATGCGGTGAGCTGTGGAAGCGATTGCATCTCAAGAACCACAAGAGAAATGAAATAAAACAGGTAATCGTTCAACTGCAACGCCCTTTCGGTGCCTAGCTGCCACACCACCCGAAGGAAGCGCAACGGCTCAGATTCTGTCAGCATGCCCAAGCCTAGACAGGAGCTGTTAAGAGGCAGATGTTGTGTTCGGACCTTCCTTAACCACGCCTTGACCACTTAAGCTACATCGAGTTAAAAACTATCACCAGAAATATCGTGCGTAGGGAAAATCAGTAGCAACAACGAAGCTTGTCTACAACACAACCACGGACGAAACAAGACGCGTTCACATCACCCACCATGGAACAGTCCTCCTTTCGCTCTGGCTGCACTTCACACTGCTCAGAGTGCATGATCAACCGTAAAGGAATGTGACTGCCGACTATCTGACAAACGAGGTGGGCGTGTTATTACCTCACCATTGTAGGCATGACGCGCATGAATTATCAATTCTGAAGAGACGTGTTCGGACCTTCCTTAACCGCGCCTTAACCACTTAAGCTACCTCGAGTTAAAAACTATCATCAGAAATATCGTGCGTAGGGAAAATCACTAGCAACAATGAAGCTTGTCTACAACACAACCACGGACGAAACAAGACGCGTTCACATCACCCACCATGGAACAGTCCTCCTTTCGCTCTGGCTGCACTTCACACTGCTCAGAGTGCATGATCAACCGTAAAGGAATGTGACCGCCGACTATCTGACAAACGAGGTGGGCGTGTTATTACCTCACCATTGTAGGCATGACGCGCATGAATTATCAATTCTGAAGAGAAGGACATGATCGCGTTCAAGTGTTCCCGAAAGACAGGAGCAGGGTGGTTCTGACAAGCGATGTGGATGCGAACTCAACATCTCCATCAAGTAGGAATGAGTAGTCAAGAAAAGAATAGCCAGATAAAATGGAGCCAAAAGGGGCAAAAAACGAAGAATTTTGTAAGTCAAACTAAAACCGTGGGGAAATGAGGAAGACCAAGGTGCCCACAACTTGGAGCGGCAGTGAAAGCGAAAGCTAACAACCATGTTGGAGTAAAAAAAAATTACGGTAGCCCTTTTCCTGTTCTGGCTGCTACTGATACTACTGAAAGGAGAAAACCCTCCGCTACGCAGTCGTTTATTAGCAAACACCAACTAAGCAGGAAAGTAAACTTCTCACATGCACATAGTTTTGAAAAATTGGACATTCCCACGCGTCTTCTTGAACTTTTACGGATATTCATTGACTGTTGCGCAATTACAAACGAACACCGCAAAGCGGTCCCACAAGTTCCGCAATAAAATTCAGCTTCTATCAAATGCGGACTACTACTCACATGCCTCAGCAGTAGCACACGCCATTACGCTACTACTGCTCCACAGACGCCTAAACGATGCACTTGAATTGTCGCATCTGAGTAGACGAACTTTTTCATGCCTGAGCGCTATGACTGGTTGTCCAACTCCTGGAACGAAGACTCAATTACTATCCCGGCTACAATGATTGACTGACCCGCCCATCGAGATAACCCAGACAGTTAGCGTTCAAGTGTTAAGTCTGTCTGCAGCTTAGTCGTAACATTTGAGGCGCGTCAAACGTACGCTGGAGTAGTGGATAGCCGTCAAACAGGCGCGTCAAACGTACGCTGGAGTAGTGGAGATAAGATCGTCCGTCGCAAATCGGCAAAACGGAAGCTATGCACTGTTGTTTGGGTCAAGCAAGAGTTATTGATGTGAGTAGCAACCACCTACAAATAAGCTTATGGTGTATTTCCATAAAGGAAACTACTCACAAGGTTGCTGAAAACTCTTCGACAGCTCACGACCGGTTTCGCCCTTCTTGGGGCTCATCAGGTAGACGCAGTCCCCGAGTTTCCGTCAACAACCTTATGTTCTACTTGAACCCAAATTGGACTGTTTTCGAGAAATACACTCACTTGCAAATCAATTTGGTTTTCACGAGAGACTCAACTGAATCTCTGATATTCTACAACTGAATGTGCTGCTGTGAGAACCAAATTGATTTGCAAGTGAGCGTATTTCTCGAAAGCTTATGGTGACTTTCACTGGCCCGGAATCCTAAGTATACAACGATGACAAACCATCGACAGGAAACGGAAATGAATAAACGGGTTCAATTCATTTGATTACACACCCACGGCAACAAATACGTTAGCTTACAGTTGTCTGAGGGCCCTGGACCGTCTATATGAAGCGATCCGATTAGAAGTTCCGGAGGGACTTCAAAAGTGATCATACTTACCAGCACAGACACCCATCCAATTAAAAAGCGACAGAGTTGACGGATCAACTGTGTTAGAAAGGGGAACAGGTTTGGCGTACAAAGACATGTTGCACGACTGACAGCTTGAGAGAGGAAAATCGTAGAGGTCATTTCACAGAAGCAGCTGCTCTGATTGTAGCGACAGGACAGAAACAGAGATACTACATAAAACAAAGGGCTGATTTCAGTAGTGTGAGGAATTCCGGGAATTTCTGATTGAGACTTCGCCAGTCCATGCTGAATAACCGGGAAGAACTGTGCAGCTGTTTCAGCCTTATTGGGGATCGTCGACAGCACACATCCCACAAAGTTTCTAACGGTTAGTAGTTTGGACGGTTAAGCGTTCAAACTGTTGGTAGCCAAAATGGCGCGGACACGGAACTCCCTATTGGAATATCTTGAGATGCACGATGCTGATAATTACCAGTAAGGATGAAACAGCTGTACAGGATTCGCTTGCAGAACGAAATCACGATTGAAAAGAGCTGATAAGCGATTGTGCTGATCAAGTGTTGAAAGATACGGATAGGGAGCCCATCTCATATGACAGGCGGAAGGGCGGGGTTTGAGAGCCATTGAAGAATATAATAAACTAATACGTAATAATTGTTCATCTGACACTCCTTCCGGTGTCTATCTGCCATACAACCCGAACGAAGTACGAGGGCTCACATACTGCCGGTTTACCCAAGCCTAGACAGGAGCAGTCGAGATGCCGAGGTTGGGTTCGAACTATAGACCTTCCGGTCAGTAAGTTGGCACCTGAACCACCCAGTTATCCCGAGACCTGAGCTACCTGTCGGAAAATCAGTGGTAAGATCGAAACACGAATACCGGAAGAAGAAACTGCACTGATTCAATATATTCAGGGTTTTATCAATACTAACGTTCTGGATTCGAAGGTTTGCAATACATTTCTGCGTGACTGCATAAAGCTGCATTTATATCCAACATGCTGTCACCATTTGAACGACGTTGTCCTCGGGAGCGGAAGCGTGTCTGCAAAACTTGTTTTAACCTCTTCATCATTTTCCTCAAGTTACGGGTGATCTAGGATCCAAGCATACCAGATTCTATACGGAGCAGTTCTTTTCCAACACTGAATATGGACTTGATCCGCTGCCAAATCCAAAGCAAGGGGCGAGATGGCTCAAGTGGTTAGAGTGCGAATTTACCGACTGGATGCTCCGTGGTTCGAACCCGTCCTCTGCCTCTCGACTTCCCCTGCCTAAGCTTGAGAAATCTGGCAGTATCCCAGCCCTCGTGCTTACTTCGGGTAGCATGGCAGTTAGGCACTGGAAGGATGTTACAACTGAACGAAAAGGGGTAATCGTCGTAGGACAAATCCATTTTCGAACAATACACTTTGCTATCATACGTTCATGTCGGACAACACTACTGCCAAACGTAATTGGCGCCCAGTTTACAAAAATTCGGTATAACGTTCTCCGGCATTCGCAGGCTTCTAGACTGGAACCTTTGTGATTTTACTCTTTAGTACCTTCGGTGCGTTCGACTGGTTCCTCGACTGGAACCTTTTGATTTTACTCTTTAGTACCTTCGGTGCGTGGATCCTCCAAGAGAATAAGCCCATGACCTAAGCGCGCAATCGTAACAAGAACTCGGGAATCCAGTACATCAAGATCAGAATTGATTAATACCGGAAATAGATGAAACTCAATCCAATCTCTGCTTCACTGCAGATTTCAAACAACTGCACCGTAGAGTACAACCGTAGTTCGAAAATCATTGTTTGACTTCCAACTTGGTGTCCAATCACGAAATAAGACCGGGGGGAGTGAAGAACTACGAGATCCGAAGGGGTGAAACCAATACTCAAAAAGTTTTCATCAGCCGCATGTATAGTGATATCGTGCCAAGAACAAACATAAACCCAGCAATCCACCAGCAATCAGTAATCGTAATTTTAAGATATGTGCTGCCTAGTGTTCCTGATACCTTGTGTTCTATTGTTTTGGTGAACAGCTTCCTGTCAGACTGCATCGCAGTTCCCACTGGGCAGTGCACAAGTTGCTCCGTGTTGTAGTCTGTCTTCCTCTTGTTTGACTGGTGACTTGATTCTTGAAAACGTAGGCTGCTCTGACGGTCCAACGCCAAACAGCGCTACCCTGCAGTTAAGGTTTTGAGCCGAAGGCTTTAGTTGAGGACCCAAATCGTCCTCATGTCTAGGCTCTCTGATAGTGTCTCAGCCTACGTACAAAAAATAAATCGTATGCTATCAGCGATGATGAACAAGACAAAATAAGTGTGCAGACGACAGTACTTCGCGAACTGCATCCAATCTGGGTTTAAGTAGGATATAAGGTTGACGGAAACTCGGGGATCGCGCCTACTCGATCGACCCCAAGCGCGAAGCCAGTCTGTCATGACTATGGGCGAGATGGCCCAAGTGGTTGGGGCACGAATTTACCGACCGGAAGGTCTGTAGTTCGAACCCGACCTCTGCCTCTCGACTTTCCCTGTCTAGGCTTGGGCAACCTGCCAGCATCCCAGCCCTCGTGCTTCCTTCGGGTGGCATGGCAGTTAGGCACTGGAATGGTCCTATAGCTGAACGATACATCATTATCTTTTCATTTTTACTCAACATTTCCAGCTCAGACGATCAAAGTGTACATTGTCCCCGCTATTCTGTCCCCCTTCCAATCTTGACCAGGAACCATTCGACTCCGCGACAATTTAATCATCTAATAAAGAAATGGGTCATATTCTCCGACCCACGGTTTTTGATGCTGATCCTCATTCACCAGATAGCGCGCAACGACGGGCTCATTGGTTCCGTACATTACATCAAGTCAATCAAGCGTGAAAGTCTAAACAAACTGGATACTAGATTACGTCATATTAACCGTACACTGTATGACTTCAGTGCAGTCAGTAAATCCGCGCTATAACCACCTGGGCCATCTCGCCCCCAACCGTACAGTGTATGACTTCATTGCAGAATGTAGGGAGTAGGTTTCTGCGTTAACCTTGCTGGAAAAACTTTATGCTCGCCCGGAAAAAAATCGTTTACGTACGCCACCTTTTAGCTACATATGAACAAGAACCATGTCAAGATACTGATAATTTCGTTCGAAAGCTGAAGTCACTTGCCAAATACTGTGAACCCAAAGCAGTATCCGCTGTGGAACATACAAATGAAACAGTCCGGCATGCCTTGATAACCGGAGTGCAGTCGAATAAAGTTCATCTGTAGCACCCTTTCGGTGCCTAACAGCCATGCCACCAGAAGGAAGCACGAGGGATGGGATACTGCCAGGTTATCCAAGCCTAGTGTTAGGACGGTCAGGTCCTAACGAAATATTCTACTTTTTGTAAGATTTCACTGAGATTTCATTTCCTCTCTGCTGTAGCCCAATGAGTCGCCGATCTCCCTTTGATGTCCTTCATCTTCTTCCTTGAGGTGTTTTTCACTCAAGTTACTAGACTAACAACAATACAGAATGAATTCCATCAAGCTTCTAAATCACCCAGTAAGCTCCCACAGACACAATATTTAGACAGGAGCAATCGAGAGGCTGACGTAGGGTTCAAATCACGGACCTTGCGGTCAGTAAATCCGCACTCTAACCTCTGAGCCACCTCACACCCGAACATCACTCGGGAGAAACTGCTAATGTGGGATGAATTGGACCTTGAAAAAGCTCACGAAGTCGCATGAGCTCTTGAACTTGCACACAATCACAACGCGGTCAGTAAATCCGCACTCTAACGGCTGAGCCGAACATCCCTCGGGAGAAACTGCTAATATGGGATGAATTGGACCTTGAAAAGGCTCACGAAGTCGTATGAGCTCTTGAACTTGCACACAATCACAATCGTATACATACTGACAATCCTTACAACATGCTTTTGTGGGAATCCCAAGCACCCCCGTAATAGGTGTCCTGCTAAGGAATCAGTTTGCAGAAGTTGTGGGGAAATAGGGCATTTTAAACGCGTCTGTAGGTACAAAATCTAGAAATATCACGTGGGTTCAGCTCAAAACTCTACAGCATCTTCGTTATTCTGGTCAACGATGTTGTTGTCCAAGCTCTTATCGGTACCGGCAGCTCCAGAAATTTCGTCTCTTCACCAATCCTACAAACTCACAACTGGAAACCATTTCCGTACGATTCTGTGATAACAATGGCGTCGACGATACATTCAAGTTACACCGAAGTTTACCTACTTGTGTCCATTTAGTACAAGAATGCGAACGGTTCAAGCTTTGTGTATCACCAAACCTCTGTGCAAACGTCTGTCTCGGACATAACTTCTTGATAAAGTTGGAATTATATTCGGTAGCCAACGGGGCATTCCAAATGTAGGCGGCGTAACATCCGAGACTAGAATTTCCACCTTTATTCGTCAATCTTGCTGCGAATGACAAACCGATCGCTACGAAATCTTGTCGCCATACACCGGATGACGAACAATTCATACTATCCGAAGTGGACCGAATGCCTACGTATGGCATAGTCGAAGCATTAAATTCCCTATGGATAGCACAAGTGCTCGTAACGCGCAGTTCGAACCAAAAATCTACAGTACACTGGACCTCCAGAGTGCACATCATCCGGTTCCAGTAATCGAGTCAGATGAGCCGTTTACTGCGTTCGAAGTCTATAGGAGCCTTTACCAGTTTTGGTGCACCCCTTCGGAGTGACAAACTGGGTTGCCTGTTTCCAAAGGACGTTAAACAATATCTTCAAAGCCGAACAGGTGGAAAACACATTCGCCTCCGTTGATAACGTTACTGTATGCGGTAAAACGAGAGACGAACATGACCTCCATCTTAGGTATGTTCTCTATGTCCCTAAAACATACATTACTTTGAACGACACAAAAAGCCGTTTCGCAACTGAAGAGATTACTCTTTTGGGTTACAAGGTCTCCAAAGGTATTATAAAAGCTGACCCAGTACGCATGCACTCCGTAAGGGAACTCCCAATTCCATATAACGGAAAAACACAGCAAACAGTCGCCGGTCTGTTCGCCTACTACTCATAGTAGATACCGGTATTTTGTGACAAAATTCATCCTTTAGCTGAAAAAAAAACATTT